GCACACACCACCTTCAATGACTATCACAGGAAAAAAAAAAAAATACAGCGTGTCTTTCACAGGAATAATCATTTCCTCCGTGTGGCTACAACATTGCTAATGATTTTGTCACTACAAGCCCTTCCACGGTTAAAACCTACTATTAATCGTGCCAAAGGAAAGAGAAAACATACAGAAAGTTATCTTTATGGATGCAGTGAGCAGCAAAAGGTGAAATCATTTCATGCACAAAAACCTGTCTCACTTTGATAAAGGATTATTATAAAAGCTTTTTCCGCCTGTAGGTGTTTATCGCCTACAACACTACATATTCCTCCAGATAAATGTCCCAGAAATCCCAACTAATGGAATCACTACAGCTCTCAAACAATAGCTGTGGCAAATCTACAACTGCTTCCTGGAACTACCCAGAAGCCCTTTAGCCCCCAGAATTCCACAGGGCCCACAATCTCCCCCCAACAGGGTAGAGGTTATGGTCACGATACTGCTCGCTGGCCTGAACCGCTCTCCCCAAAGCCCACATCATGCGGTCGGCGGTTGTGTGTCCAAAGCCAAAGGATGTCACGCCCATCTTTTGCTAATTTGTCCAAATCCTGAGAGAGCTTAAGAGATAAAATCATGCCTGGTAAAGTCAGGGCTTGGAGGAAGTCTCTCTGTGCGGTGGAATGTCCTCAGCCTGGACACCACATCACCTGTCACGAAGATGCCCGTGGCTGCAAGACGGGGCAACGAACGCTTTGCTCCAAGTCCTAGCCAACAGGAGTGACACAAGTGTAGCGTATTTCCTTTTACGTTAGAGACTGAGAGGAGGAGTGCTCTTTAGGAATACGTGGTATTTACGCATTACACAATTCCTTTCTGGAAAGGAATTGGGCAGTCATACTTTAGCAACACCGTCGGGTTTTGTCGGGACAGGAGTGTGATGTCGCAGGAGCGACAGCACTGCCTTTCACCTTTAGTATGATCCGTCCTCCTCTCGGATCCTCAGACGCCTCAGGACCGCGGTCAGTTTAGCTCTGTGACATCTGGACTTGGTTAACTTCCCCCCTGAGATCTGCAGCATTGTTCTGGAATTTCTCCAGAAATTCCCTGCATTCTAAATCGAAGCTTATATCCTACCCACCCAACTCCCCTTGTGCTAAAACTCATTAACCATGAAACCTCCAAGTGATTCAAACACAGGAGCAGCGGAACCCTGTAAGGAACCCTGTAAGGCGCAAAGAGCCTGTCTTGCCCCTGGGCCTTGATGACCCCTGAACTGGGGTCTCTGTGGTCAGGGGTAATTACAGAGCACGGCATGCCTGGTACTGCTTCCACTGCTGGTGGAAGAACTGTCGTCTTTTATTCCCACTTTTAAGTACAGATGGCCAAGTGCTCCTCCGCTACTGACCAAAAGGTTGTCTGTTCAAATCCTCCCAGAGGCACCTTTGAAGAAAGGTCTGGAGATCACTTCCCAGAGACCACAGCCATGGGAAACCCTAAGGAGCACCTGGTTGTCCTTTGGCACACATAGGGTCACCATGAATCAAAGCCAACTCTATGGCGGCGAACAGGAGCCCCGGTGAGGTAGTGGGGTGTACGTTAGCGACTGCTGCAAACCACAAGGTCAGGCAGTTGGAAACCACCATGGGCTCCCTAAAGAGCGACTGTGTCAGAAATGCACGGGAGCAGTTTTAGGGAGTCCTGCACGGTCGCTAGGCATTGGAATTGACTACGGAATCAAGTTCTTGTTTGTTTTTCCCTACAGCTACTGGCTTGTACTTTGTTAGTCTGCAGGTGGGGAGGGACCCGTGAGAGAGTAAAACCAACCCATGGGGTTCTCTGAGGCTGTAAATCTTTACAGCAGCAGGTGTCTACATTCTTCTGCGGAAGGGCAGGATCTCTTGTAGGTGGCCCCGGTCTTAGTTACTTGGGGAACCTCAAAAGGCATCTGCCTACCCCACCCCCAGCCACACCCAAAACGTGTGTGCATCTCCAACCGTTTTACAACTCAGATGTGATCAGATTTCGAACTGTGCCCCCCCACCCAAAATCACATTAGCATCACAATGAAAATCTTATTTCCAAACAATATTACACCCACAGGTATAAGGAATAGGATTCTAAAACTTGGTGGGGTGGGGGTGTCAGGATGGCAATGTAGGCACAATTTAATCCACAACAGCACCTTTTTACACAATGAGAAAGAAAGTGACTGTCGGTGTTCTTGAAGGTTCTCGGCAGTTCTGCTTTTTACTGGCTGTGAAACCTTGGGTGAATCACCAAAGCCTGAGAAAATCAGTTTTCAGGAGAAAACTTTCTGCAGGATCTTCGGGAGGTATAAACTTACCCGATGGAATCCACCCGCAGGAGTGGCAGATATTAAATGTCGTTATCCATCTTTAAAAAGGCATGTGTCCAGAGAGGCTCTGCTCACCCTTGGTTTTATTAAACAGCCCATTTAATTTCCCTGGCTGTGGCCAGGGTAACTGTTTCCTGTCTGACAAGGCTCTGGACAACTAACCAGGGCAACTCCAGAGCCCATTAGAAGCAGCCCAGTGGATTTTTTTCCTACTTTAAATCTTGTAAAACTCCAACCAAACCCCCTGCTGGCAAGTTGATTCTGACTCATAGTGACCCTATAGGACAGGGTGGAACTGCCCCTGTGAGTTCCTGAGGCTCTAACTTTTATTTTTTTAATGAAAGCAGAGAGCCTCATCTTTCCCCCAGGGAGTGGCTGTGTTGGAACCAGAGACCTTGCAGGCCACGGTGTAACCCCCTCTTCTCCGAAAGCCCCCTCTGCACTGAGAAAACGCACCTCAAACTCACTGCCTTCGGTGCAGACTCAAGGGGGACCCTGTAGGGCAGAGTGGACTTGCCCCGTGGGTTTCCGAGACTGCAGCTCTTTAGAGGAGCAAACAGTCTCTTCTTTCTCCTGCCTGCAAAAGGAAGGGAGTTACATAAATTAATCCCAAACTCGCATGAATGTTGGAGCTTCTTTCTTCCCCAGTCCACGTGAAAGGTAAAGAGTAATGTCACCTTAAATGTTCACGACACACTAGGGTTGGTAAGAGGCCACAATGGTCAGAGCCCAAACGAGCGACGACGGGCATGGTCATGCTTCCACATGGGGTGCCTGGAATTGCCAGCTGAGGGGGTGGGGGTGGGGGTGGGGGCGTGTCAGCTGAATGGCAGCTGAAAACAACAACAGCATTTTTGGGGATGGGGTAACTAATATTATCTGTTAAATTTGGTAACGCATGCATTAGAGGAGACAGGGAAGATGGGCTTCTCCCGTAATAAGCAAGTCTACACTCTGGGATTACAGTTGTTGTGAGATACGGAGACAGCTCTGGCCATCCACCTAACAAGCAAGGAAGGCCTCAGGATGACCCGAGCCAGCACAATCTTTGGGAGATTCAGGTTCTGCCACATTCACTGGGGGTGGGGTGCCAGGAACCATTCATGTGAACTGACCACTTGCCCCTTTTAGAAAGGAGGCTGGCTCTGACACAAATGTCCCAATCTCTCTCTATGACTGGTGAAAGGTAAACACACTTGCTTTTCAAGGTTTTAGATAACTATTGATTTGTAAATCTTCCTTTTCGGGGGATAATTTGCAGAGAGGGAGGGGGAAAATGCTTAAAAAGTTTCTCCTGTGAAAGGTTTATTCGTTGCTAAATTAGGGGGTGGCGTGCTATTTTGCTAGGGCAGAAAAAGCATTAAAAAGTTAACAAATCCTTCACACCCACATGGCGATAGCACACGGAAAAGCACAGATCTGAGTGCAGTTGCCAGAAAACAGGAGAGGACCCTTCCAACTTTCCCATCCTCCCTCAGCCCTCGGGGATTAGCAGAAGCAAACCCATTAACCCTTCGCTACCAATAGCAAGAGCCACCCTCCCGGCCCACAAGCAACTGCACCTGGACCGTTCAATCAAATCCCGAACCTAAGTGTACTGCAGGCAGGAGGCACCTGAGAAACGAGGTCAAGAGGACCCCACCCTTCGCTGTGACACCCCACAGGCCACACTTCAGACAATCCAAAGTCGGGCACTTGCGTATCTCACGCATAACGAAATTTGTGATCTGAATAAAGAGAAGAGGGTGCTGTGCTTCAGTCATTTGATTTTATATAGTCCACGGAGCCATAGCTCCTACCTATCTGAAATTATCCTGATTGGGGGAAATGCTCAGAAAGGGCAGGCGGCTACCTCTAGGGAGGCCTTTGGCGGAAATCTCAGAGTAAACACGCTAATCTATGGGAAGTGAGAGATTATTTTTAGTTTGTGCTAAACTTTCACATTCATTTACAATTCTGCAGGAAGACGAAGGGTTGTGTGTCGTTCTAAATCTGGCAAATTCTGCAGCTTGCTTTTCAGAAAAACAGGGAGGGGTTTGGTGAGAGACAACCTAGTATTTAAAACCAGGGCTGTTCAGAAGCCACTCAATTTGCAAATAGGGTTTAAGTTTCTTGCTGTGGGGACAGAGGGTGAGAGAGGAGTTGAAAATATTCAGGTTCTGCAGGAGTCCACTAAGTACAGTGATCGATACCCAGGGACAAGGGCTGTAAGTGCGTTCTGAAGATAAAACTTTAGTGATCTGTAAATTATTGATCAGGGGGAGGCCTTACAGGATACTGTTCCCAGTCAAGATTCCTAGATACACCCTCTCTCCCTCTCACTAGTCATTTGCCCAAGTGACACGCCGTTCCGACCCCTAATTTTATAGTCACCTTTTCTATGAAAACCAGAGCGAACATTTTTAAAGTCTCCCAAGTGACTGTATGTTCCCACCACGCGAGCCCATGTGGCAAACTGTTGCAATTTCTCAAGGCGCGGACCTTCGCTGGCGAGGAGGCCCGCTTCCAAGCTCACGGACCTCCGCGGGAACGAATGCTTCTTGCGGGGCGCACACTGAGCAAGCAATGCCCATCGGTCCCTCCCGGGATCCCCACCCCAAGGAAGGCGCGACGGGAGCAAGCTGTGCTCTCGGGCCGGTGTCACCCCCGCCTGCCTCACCTGTGATGGTGATGGTCCCCAGCATGTTTGCACGCGCCGTCCCCCCGCAGGGCCCCGGGGCAGCCAACTCCTCCCTGCCCTCGTCCCCCGGGCGGGCCTGGGATGAGCAGCAGGAACCAGGCTCCGAGGAGAGGAAGAGGGGCCCCGTCCGCGCCGCGGCGGCAGTGGACTGCGGGGCGCGACGCGCAGCTAATTATAGGGACACCGCCCCCCCGCCCCCCGCCCCCGCGCAGCGCGCCCCGCCCCCAGCGCGCCCCCTCCCCCGCGCCTGGGCCGGCGGCGAGCGGCACCTCTTCCCGGACTTGGCACGGGAATGCGGGTCACGTGGTTCGTTTTAAGAAGAGAGCGCCTCCCCTCCCACCCGCTGGGCTGTCCCCCGGGCTCCGCCGAGGGCCGCCGGGAGGGTGGGGCACTTGCTGCAAGCGTAGCAGCCTTAGCCAGGGGGCTTTCTCGGTGCTCTGACTCCCCCACCTCCACCCGGGCACCCCGCTTTGAGCCACGTTTACAAGGACAGATAGGGCATTCTACTTCGCTTTTTCAAACTGTGCCGCCCCCTTCACTCGGCTGAAAGGCTGGAGGCACGTAAAGCACGGTCCCCTTTCCAGCCTCCACTGCGTTTTCTGTTGCTCACCACCTGTTGGAGACGTGCGCGCGCGAACACATACACGACACACGCTGATCTCACACACAATACACACGCTGATCTCGGGGCTGCAGACTTGAGTAGTGTGCCGTCCCCGACTCTCTGAGAAGGACTCCTCTTGAAATTCCTGCAGTGGATTGCTGGCCAAATCTGCATGTTCTTTAACAGCACAGTAGAGAATTCCAGGGAGGAATACAGCCCGGGGTATTTGCAAAGCTTTTGTCTTCCTTCACGAGGAGCCCTGGTGGCATAGTGGTTTCTCCTTGGGCTTCGAAGGTTCGCAGTTCAAAACCACCAAGCGCCCCGGGGCAGAAACAGGGGGCTTTCCACTCTCACGATAAGTTACACGGTCTTGGAAACCCACAGGGGCAGTTTGAACCTGTCCTACAAGGTCGCTGTTCGTCGTGCTGGATTCGGGTAGCAGTGAGTTTGGGGTTAGTGGTGGCGTCTTCCTACAGGATTTCAAACTGAACTGGCTTTCACACTGCCCCGCCCTCCTCGTCTTTGCTTTAGCTGAACCGGCTGCTGCAGCCAGTGTGTCAACCCATCTTAGGGAAGGTCTCCTGTTTTTCACGAATCTTCTGCTTTACCAGGTATGCGTCCGTTCTACAGACACATGCCCAAAGGAAGTGAGGCCAGGTCTGGGCGTCCTTGCTTTGCTAAGGAGCACCCACCGCTGGACTGCTTCTTCCAGGGCAGATCTATCCATTCTTCCGGCAGTCCCCGATCTACTTCATACTTTTTTTCCTAGTACTGCAATTCACAGGAATTTTTATACCTTGTCCAGCTTGGGTCATGCATTCTCAAAACAGCATCTTTGCTTTGTAAAGAGGTCTTGGGTGGCAGACCTCCCCCGTGCAACATGCTGCTGTTGGCTCTCCAGGCAGCGGCTCCCATAAGGGGACTGACTGTGGATCCAAGTCAATTGAAATGTCCGGCCACTTCAGCATTTCCTCTGCTTACCATGCTGCGGTGAATTGGCCACTTGTGACGAATTGTTTTGTCTCGTTGAGGTGGAATCTAGAACGCAGGCTGCAGTCTTTGACCTTCATCACTAAGTGCTTCAAGTCCTTACGCTCCGAGCGAGCAAGGTTGTAGCACCGGTGTGCTGCAGGTCAACGAGGAGTCTTCCTCCCATCCGGAAGCAGAGCCCTTCTTCAGAGCGCCCTGCCTCTTAGAGTTATTTTCTCAGTGTGACGATTGAAAATGTACAGTGGAAGGATACAACCCGGGTGCACCCCTGTCCTGATGGGAAACCACCCCCTGGAAAGCCAATGTTCGACAACAACAACAATAACAACATCTGATGTTGTGGGGTCGACTCACGCCAACCCCATGCATGCATACAGAACAGGAGTATTAAATGAGTTGGCGTGGTCTTGGGGTCCTAACACACTTTCTTTTTTTTTCTTTTCTTTTTTTTTCTAACACACTTTCTGATGTCCGCTTTCCCCTAAGGGTGGTTCCACGTGGGCCCCCCCAACCTCCCCGCTTCCTACTTTCCATCTCTTCTCCATCGACCCCTTCATTGCTCTCCTAATCTGACCTCATTAGCAGGGCTCTTTGCCAAAGTAAACACCAGGAAAGGTTTTATGACTGCTCTGGTCTCCAGCCCATGCAGATCTTGTTCTTTACTGCCTGGGGCAGGGCAAGGGAGGGGGGTGGAGGTAGAGCTGGACCAGAGCAGACCCAGGAAAGAGAAGGGCCAGGAGAAAAGTACTAAGAGAAAAGGGACCCAGACCCCCAGGACGTGGGCTAGCATGGCACATGGTTTGTGCCTCTGGCCACTAGGCGGCGACACACACCACATCGGGTCCATGTCCACCCTCAGCCTGGTTGGCCATCCAACCACCACCTAGCTTCAAGAAGCAACTCCTTCTTTCCATCTGATATTCCACAGAAGCCTGCAAGCACCCAGCCTGGCTCAAAGTTTACGTAAGAGCAGGGAGTGTGAGCCTTGTCCCCCTACAGGGAGCTACAGACATAGAGAAGTCGCAGCTGCCTGCACTTTCAGCTCCCTGGGAGGAGCCTTCTTCAGGCCACAACCTGGTCCAATGGAGCTGGCACCCAGGGGCCAAGGCAAACCTGCCCCTCCCACTGTCTCCCTGCCCCCACACTGCAGGGGCCTGGACATCACATGGTGGTCTGCGGCTTTCCCAAGCCCGTGTGTCAGCATAGTGTGCCTCCCAAGGGGTGCCCAAGCCCAAGAGCCCTGGGGGTCCAGGGTCTCACCTTTGCATAGATTCTCAACACCCATTATAGGGGGACAGCACAAGGCCACCTCTGATATGTCCAACGTATCAGGTGCATCTCGCCCTACAGGGGTCCCTCCTGGAACCCCTGAACCTAACAGACAAGCAACAGCTGAGGGGTAGAGACACATCAAAGACACCCCACCCACCATAAAAAAATAACCTTGAAAAGGCTACTACGTTACTGCGGTTGAATTTTAGCAATGAATCTTATGACACTGGTAAACGCACGAACACGTACGCTGTGAAATTCTTGAAGAGTCTGTTGAGACCACATGGCAGGGCCATAATAGATCAGGTCCCACAAGACCTCAGCCTCTGAAAGTCCTGAAGGACTAGGGTGTGTGGCACAGCTTGTCCAGGGAGCCTCTGGGGTCTGGACTTCCGAAGACCCTGAAGGACAGGGGCAGGCGCAGAGAAACACAAGGTCAGCAGCACTCAATGCAGGCAACTTTGGGTGTGGTCAGCTCCACCCTCCGTTTGGTCGCATCTTCCTCAAATCCGAATTCTTCCAGTAAGACCTCGCCCTCCAGAGATAAACGTATGGAGAATGTGGGGGGCTGTTTTGAGGAGTCGCCATCTGTGAGTTTATTGATTCTGACTTGTGACTCACGACGACGACTTGTGTGTTCACAACAGAACTTCTCCGTAGGCTGTAATGGCTACAGAAGCAGGTCATGAGGTCTGGTCCTCTTCGGGATCTCTGAGCAAGTCCCAGACCTTTGGGTTAGAGCCGACTGAGCGCAAACCAGGAACGAGCCTGCCATATCACAGCCCTTTGGACGCCATTGACTCGCTCTGACTCAGTGACCTTGTGTAGAACACAAGGAAACCCTGCCCAGTCCTGACCTTCTCTCATCATTGTTAAGTTCACGCCCACTTGGCAACCACTGGGTCAATGCATCTCACCAAGGGGCTTTCGCTCTCTCTTTTCTTTCCCCTGACTCTCTGCTTTACCAAAGGAGCCCTGGTGGCATGGCAGGTTACACGTTGTGCTGTTAACCACAAGGTCCGCAGTTTGAAACCACCAGCCGCTCAGCAGGAGAAAAAAGAGACTTACTGTTCACGGAATGAGTTACAGCCTCAGAAACTCGCAGAGGTGGTTCTACCCTGTCCTTACAGGGTGACAACCTGAGTAGGAGTGACAGTGAATTGTCTCTACCATACCCAGCAGGGGGTCCTTTCCCAGGAACTGCTGTCTCCTGGTAACATGCCCAAAGTAGGTGAGACCAAGTCTCACAAGCAAGTCTGACTGTACGTACGTCTCCCAAGACAGATCTGTTTGTTCTTTTGGCAGCAGCGGGAGAGAGGCAGGGAACAGGGAGGGAGCTCGTGGGGGCAGGTAGGAACCCCAAGTGTGTTTCTCGTAGCTGCAAGCACAGGAGACCAGGCACAAAGATGACAGCAAGTACTGAGCCCCAGGATGGATTATGAAGGGTTTAGATAGCATCTGAAATGTCCTAGCACATAGCCCAATTAAGAAATGGAGAAAGATAAACGAATGGCCAAGAAGCACTGAAAAGATGCTGCCCATAACTCATCATCAGGAAGATGCAAATCGGAACCAGGACGAGCGACCACTCCTCTAGCCCACCGAAGCAGATGTAAGGAAAAAAGCAGATAACACTAGGTGCTGGCCAGGATGTGGGGGAACGGGAATCCTGGGATAGCACGGTGGGAACGCAACCTGGTGCAGCCCCTTGGAAAACAGCCTGGCAGCTAGCTCAGCAGGACGTGAAACTAGGCCATCATACACCAGACACGCAAGCCCGCCACACATCATACACCAGACACGCAAGCCCGCCACACACCCATTTAGTTCCAGCTCACAAAACAGAGTAGTAGAATGGCCCCGTTGGATTCCTGAGATGTTTAATCTCACCATAACTAAACTACTAACTAAATGACTGACTAATTGCCATAGAATCTATTCCAAATCATAGTGATCCTAGAGGTAAGGGTAAAACTGTCCTGTAGGTTTCTGAGACTGGAACTCTTTATAGGAGTAGAAAGCCTCGTCTTTCTCCCAAGAAGGGGCTGGTGGTTTCAAATGGCTGACCTCGGGGTTAGCAGCCCCATGTGTAACCACTATGCCAGCAGGGCTCCGTCTTACCGTACCCAGCAATTCCACTCCCATGCACATGGCCCAAAGAAACAAAACCACTTCTACATGAGGGTTCATAGCATCGCTTTACAGAACAGGCAACCTGTGG